GAATATCTGCATCAGCATTTAAATCTCTGCAAGACAGCAGCGACATTTCCCAAACTGTGAAACTTTTGACAGCATCAGAAATTTGTAACCCATCTTACATGGAGTTTATTTTGCTCGGGGTTAGTGTTGCTGTGCAGTATTGCTCAATATTTTGGATACATTCATTCCTGCTTGCTCAGTGGATTCAGAGTTGAGATGCGAGTGCAGGTGTAACATAATCCTCCCCGACTGCTGTCAAGTCATGTCAGAACGATGTGGCGTTTGGTTTCTGCCTTGTGCCAAAAACCTTGTTACTGAGCTGCTTAGCGTTTTTTTCTTTTGCACATAAACACATGACTGATGGTGGAGGTACAATGATTTGTCTTGTCTGGTGCGTCTGTACTTGGACAGATTTATGGAAGATGGTCGCCCTAAAGACAGATCAGGTGATGGAGGAGAAACTTGAGGCATCAGGGTTCATACCAGGATGGTTTTACGAGATGTATGAGTCACATGAGGGTATCTGCTAACAGTGGGGCAAACACTAGAATGCTGATAATCATTGCTGACTCGCAGTTTGGAGGCTGCAGAGCTTTCAGTGACTCGTCTTGCTTTCGCCTGTGTTTTGCACCTAATTGGGTGACAGTGTGTGTACGTGTGCCTCTTTTAAGATTGTTTGGCCTTTCCCCTTAAGTATTTATATATATATGTGTGTTTTTTGGTTTAAAAAAAAAAAAAAAACAGATAGTGAAACAGGACAAGAGAGACACTGAAAGAACTGCAACATAGAAAAGAATTTGGGTTTCGAAGCCAACGTATTGAGGAGGAAGTGGTATTAGCATTACAGACTGCTCTGCCAGGACGCCCCAGCGGGATGCAAGTGTTGACATGTGATGCAACCCTGGACGATCTCGGCTTTGCCCTGGTGTAAAAAGAAAAATCTACATTGAGAATCCTCATTAGCATATGAATGAGCGTCAACAGGAATGTATGGCACACAGCAAAAGATTCCCTCTGAAGGGGGCTCCGAAACTCTGTATACACAACAAAGTTTTGTCTGTATGGAGGCGAAAACTAGCTGGTGTGTGTTTTGCACTTATCAAAAGAGGAGCCTCTATGAAGAAAAAGGAATTTGGGAAATAAAAGAAAAGCCTCTGGGAAAGTGGATCAAGTGCTTTGTCTTGGAGGAGAAAAAGATTCACAGAAGATTTAGACATGAATATAATTGGGTTTACTGTCAGGCTCACATGGCACAGGTCCACACCAGCACATCCAGGATATAACCTTTTTTTTATTTTTATTTTCAAAGGCTTGCATTCCTTGTAGCACCTCAGACAAACCAGGAACGCTCCTCCCCATCCATGCACCACCTCTCCCTCTCTAGGTTTTCTCACACAGACGTGCACCCCTGTATTATGTGCTCTGGCCATCTGTTACCTCCAGGTCAGGGGTGTGAGTTTGCCCTGCATTGTCACAGTATTTTCACACCACCAAAGCACAGACAGACAGGTTGTGTTAGCCCCTGTATGGAAATTTTAATTGACTGGGTCTTGTCTTGCTCTGTATTATGTTTATATGTACTTAACAGAAGCTGGTGAAGGTTATCAGTCTCTGATAGCAAAAACAAGAGGAAATGAGATGTTTTCTTGCTTCTTTGGAAGCTGTCTTACCTTATTAGGCAACAAATTAGTTGGAATCAGTGAAAATAGCTTTTAACAATCCTTCTTTCTTTTCCAAAAAAGGTTTTCTACAATAAATTTTCTTTTTTTTTCTGATTTTCACAAGAAATCAGAATTATTTGAAAAATAGGAGTTGTAGGACTGCTTTGATTTAATGATGACTTTCATGATGAGTACATCGGCACACTGTGAGGAAACATATGTGTATGTTGATTAAAAGTAAAGAGGAAAACCTCAGAATAATCCCTGATTTATTGACTGATGATCCATTTAGCACTTCAGCTCTACAAACTCTTTCTCTCTATTCACAAGTATCCTATTTTTTTTGATAAGGATGCAAAGCAAGTGTAGATTTTATCTTGCTTCAGGCTGTTGCATTTGTTAGACCTGGAGGATTTCAGTTAGTGCCTTTGAACTAAATATATATATATATATAGTATAAAGATTATTTTTTAAGAAAAGCAGACCCAGAAATTGCATTGTCTGGCCTTCATCAGGCTGAATGTTCAGCAGTGCAAAGACTGTCAGCTAAAGTGACAAGTAAAAATCCTGATGTAAAAAGGCTGAGAGGAGCAGGCCAGTGTTTGATATTTGACAGCAGTGAAAATTGGTAAAATCTCACTTATTAAGTCGAAGCAGCAGCCCGCTGTTTGTTTGGGAAAGCGTTTACTCCTGTGAAGGAGTGTGACATTGGAAGGAGACAGCAGCGAAGCTGTAAATCTGGAGCTGTGGTCTGGAATGCTGCTCGTGTCAGAACACGCTTCCTCTTCCAGTTATGAAAGACCCCTTAAAGAAGATGGCAAGCTGACAACAGCTCCATGCACAACCATCTCACCTCTCTGCAGTCTTGCTTTACCAGGCTGAGAGTCTGGAGTTTTGGATCAGTCTCGATCTTTATATTTGTTCCCTGCTCTACCTAAATCTTCCCCGTTTGCACCTTTGAATAATCATGCCCTGCCTGTTCAGTCCACTTTTTTGTCCCTTACTTTACTTCAGTAAATCTTTGATTAAGCAAAACTACATTTTATCATCTTAAATGTTACTTTTTAAAAAAAAATTTTTTTAGCTTTTCTGTGTTTTTTGTGTTTGTGCCTCTAAACATTTGAGCAACTTTAAATCCAGTGTCTTTTTAATTTCGGTTAACCCTCATTTGTAGTTTTTCTGGTTATGTTAGAGTTTTTCTGGCAAATTCTCAATTATAGGCTAAAGAGCCTTATGTTTTGAGCATTTTGTAAACTAACCTCATATTGCAGTGTACCGTCTGTAGGCTTCCGCTCATAAATGTTCAAATATAAGTAAAAAGACCACTTTTGAGTTGAAAGGGTTACAAGGAGCTGCCAGGCAAGAACAGCTGATTAGTAGATTAGTACAGGCTGCCATCTCGGGCCTACACATTAACTCATGGCACCGTACACCACCAGAAACATAATGTACGTTTCCCCTTATCCCATCTGTCGGCACTAAAACTGCTGAGCCCCGAGCCTTCAAGCAGCCCCAACCCAGGCCAATGGAAACACGCTGCTGCTCACGTCATACAGATGTGATTCTGTATATAAATTAAACAGATCGGAAAAGAAGAAATACCTCAAAATGTGCTTTACATCCTGTCAGCGTTGTGGTTTTGTTTGAGAGGCTGTGATTGGTTGCGTTTCTCAGGCTGTTGTTTTTTCCACTGTTGAGATTACAGTAGGAGTGCGTTTTTTTTTTTTTTCCTGCCACTGAAAGCTGCTTTATATACTCACAAGCATCTTATACAATCAGCTGGAATGCAGAGGAGTGGCATCCCTGACAAAATCAATTTCATCCCACTTTGTATCCTAATTGTAGCGGACAAAAAGCTCAAGACTTGTTTTGTTGTGGCGAGAGGAGCTATAGCGTTGGAGTTTATGGGACAACAGTTGCTTTATAAAGTTGTAGATCACAGGAAAGCCAGGAGACGCTGTTCAGAGAGGCTGGTTGACTTCCAGGGAAAAGCAAATCCCAGTGGAGCCCTCCACTCTCTTTGTGCCACTTTCAGGCTTTTGTCAATAAAAGCAACCAAGCAAAAAATACCTTAGTCTCAGTCTGCTGAGTGGAAGTTATATAATCTGAAACCATGTGATTTCTTTAATGTACTTCACTTCTCCTCTGTTGGACCTCTCTGGATTAATAAAACACGGGGGGAAAAGAAGTTTATTCTGACTCATTCACACTTTTTAATGGCACAGTATGTATGTGCTGCGAGTCCTGTGTTAAATGTTTGATTTTGTTAAGTGAAAATAATCCCAGGTCTGTAATTTGCCAGAGAACCTGGCATGCATAAAAATGTATTTCCTTGAGAAAAGAAGTTGTCATTATAGCATGTGGAGGGGCTCGTCTGGGAGCTGCTGAGGATCAAAACAGTCTTTTGCACGAGCCTCCTGTACAAGTTAGAGCAAGACCCTGGCCTCAGCACCGCACTCTCCCTGAGACACACACACATGCTCACAGGTTGTTTTTCTCTGGCAGCATTCGCTATCAACCCTTGTAAAAATAAAGGCATGCCATTTGATTTACAGGCAAGGGAGCGTTTTGATTTTCTTAAGAGAATTTCTTACTATCTGATTGAAAAGCTCAGACACACTTAAAGCCACGCAGGAACTCTTTTGTTTCCTTTCTCCGAGACTTAAGGGACCACGTCACCATGTCTATTATTTGGTCTTTTTCAATGTGCGCATATCGCCACTGGCTGCACTTATCATCGGCCTCTTCGCCTCCCCTCTCTGCTCGTATTTTCACAGCTGTAACGCCAGCGGTTCCTTGCTCTTTTTTCTCTTTCCCTTTAACTTACTGTGATGGAAGATATGCGTGCTAGATCCCTCCGTCTTCCAGCGAGCTCTTTTGAATTCAGAAACCACATATTCCTGAATCTGACACAAAATGGGATGTCACCGAGGAGAAAAGGGAAGCGTTGCTGCAGGGGATTGTGGTGATGTGATTGAAAGTTTGACTTCGGTCATAAAAACTACGAGACAATGGTCCAATCAAAAAGTTGTAAAGCGTCTCGTTCGGATGAGACAAAGCGGAGACGTGGCTTTATTTTGTTGACTTTAAAAGACCCACCAGAGGGGGAAAAGATGAGAGAAGAAAATGTATAAAACCTAACGACCTTATTCTTCACCTGTGGTTTCATGATACAGATGTTTTCTTCAACTGAACACATGGATAGACTGAAATTAAAAATCAGTTTCTATGATTCAATAATTACTTAAATGATGATCGTCACAATTGTGTCCTTTTTTTATGCCAAACAAATGATTTTCTAGTGTCTCCTTGCCTGAAGTTGTATCTCTCACGGCCTTTCTTTCTCCAATGCTCCTTCAGCTTTCATTGAGAATGTCCCAACCCCCTGTGCTAATGGCCGAGAGGTGGCCAGGCCCAACGAGCCTTCGTCGTGGAGGCCTCAGCTCACCACCATCACTGTCTCCAAGAAGCGCAACTGGCTGCAGCAGAGCTCCCTTGCGAAGAATCACTGCGCCAAGGATGAGCTGCAGGGAGCTGAGGAGGACTCCCATCAGCCACCTCCTCCCAGTCCCTCCCCAGACCACCTGAGACCCTCAGGGGGAGCTACGCCACGTCCGGTCCGCCTGCAGCTGCCTCAGGTCAGCCTCACAGTCCCTGTTTTTCCAAAGATGAGATTTAAAGGTCTCCTGTTATGTACCTTTTCAACAAATAAATGTAAGTCTCATATTTCCCCAAAATGTGCTTGTCAGGTTTTAGCTTGAAATACAGCACAGATTGTTCATTTTGTAAAGTTTTAGCCCTGTTTCAAATGGGCTGTTTCAGACTGTTGTGATATTGTGACATCACAACAGGCTGTAAACCCAACTGGATGGACATACATACACAGTATAGCCCATTTGAATGAAAGGTTTAAGATTTGTTTATAGACTTTCTTGTTGAGAATTAGATGGTAGGATTGATGCATAAGTGTTAAATATGAAGCTACAGCCAGAAGCCAGTTAGCTTAGCTTAGCATAAGGCTGAGAAAGAGGGGAAGCAGCTAGCTTAGCTGTGTGAAAAGGTAACGAAAAGAAGACTAAAGAAGAAGAATCAGTCCTGCAAATAACCCATCATAAAACCACAAATGGGTTATAACGTGTTTATTACAGAGCTTTAGCGACGGTATGCTAGTTGCTACTTTGGCTAATTGTTTCAAGTCTTGCTAAGTACATGAAATATTCCCGCATAATGTGGAACAGCAACAGAGAAATTCTTCACAGTGGTTGTTGCAAGTGTTTTATCTCACATGGATCCTGCTTCATCTCAAATTTTTTCATCATAATTTAACAGGAAGCTGTGTCCTTCTTGTTTCAGGCCGGCGTTGGTCAGGTGAAAGTGTCCCCCCACCCTCGGAGCGTGGACCCAGCTGAGGAGAACGATGCAGACGATGAAGGAGAGATCTGGTACAACCCGATCCCCGAGGATGACGAACCAGAGGTTTCTCACCGACCCTCCGTTCGGCTGCTGGTCCCCTCTCGAGCAGACCCTCAGAGGAGGCCCAGCGGGGGAGGGGATGCGGGTCATGGTGGGAGAACCACGGAGGGATCGAGCGGTGCTGGCTCAGAGGCGCTCGTGGAAAGCCTCGGTGGCGGCTCAGGAGATGTGAGTCAAGGGAATGCTGTACATTCCACAGAGGCACCACATCTGCACAGACAGATGCTCGCGTGCAAACCTCAGGAGGAGGGGGGGCCTTCTACCAGCAGACCAACAGGTACGGCGAGAAAAAAAACATATGAAAGACACTCACAACTTCTCCTACTTTGATTCCCTTCCTGCTTTTTGTCATCTTCTTCATTCACTCTTTCTCTTCCACTTTATTGCGCTGATGCTTGAGGGCCAACTGCTGTTTGTCGTCTTGTCTCTCAGCTAGTCTCTCACGGCAGATTTTTGCGGTTGTGCGCACCTTAAACACTAATTACAGCTAGTGTTGATGATGTTTCCAATCAACGGATCAACAGACTTATTTAGCTTCAAATTCTTCTTCCTGACGACGTATTTGAGTGTGTAGTTTAAGATGCAAGAGCAGCAAAAACAGAGAATCCGTAATTCCTCTTGGAATCCAGTCAAGTCGAGTCAAGTTAATTCTATTTATATAGACCAATATCATGTGTGCCTCAGGGGCTTTCACATTCTGTACGTATTCTGTCCTTAAAACTCCCCCAAAATACCTGTAGAGGGAAAAAAAAATGCAAGAAACCTCAGGTAGAGCAACAGGAGGCTTCAACCTTCCAGGATGGACAGTTAAGCAATAGCAGATTTACAGAGTGGACAGAATTACAGATAAATTGTAAACATTTGTGAAGACTGTGAACCATTGATCAACTTCCAGGCGCCATACAACAAAAGTCTATAACACAATACCTAAACTAGCTCTGTTTTTTCTTTTTCTGTTCGTCTTGATGTGAGCAGACAGGAGCCATGGCTGTCTAATCATATCACTCCATATCAGTGTCCCTCATTAGTTAAACTCAGACAGACATTAGCCAGGAGGAATTCCGAACTGGCATTCCTGAGAGGAAAGAATATCCATTTACTTGTGACTGCAGCTCACACACATACAGAGGGCTGTGAACTCTGTAAATTGGACTTTCATAAAGCTTTTTTTTGTCTTAAAATGAGCAAACATTATTTTGCTTTTCGCTCATTAAAACTGCACTTAAGGTGTGTTCAAAAGACAAATTCATGACCTGCGGAGCTTAAACAGAATTAATATAAATGAACCGTGGTGCTCTCTCTTTGCTTTGTGCGCACGAAAAAAATCGTTGACAACTCTGGTCTACAGCGACGACTTAATGATGACAGCCAGCACACGGCTCCCTGTCTCTTAATAAGCTCGGCCTGTTTTTTCTAACTTCCGACTTTTTGTTCCCTGTGATGTGGCAACATGCTAGTTTGAACCAATTGGCACGTCTTGAGCTGAGCCTATAATTACAACTTTTGACAACACTTTTCTGTGGCACGCAACAGCCTTTTCTAGTTGTATGAGCACAAAGCCTGCCTGAATAGTTTGGGTACACTGAAATATAATACTGGAGCTTTAGTGTCCACACAATAACTGTTTTACAGCAGGAATGAACTCAGTTATAACTTTTACCCACAAATACTCCAGCTTTTAGGAGTTCAAACCACAATCCATTGAGACACTGAGTTCCTTTAGATTAAACATGCTTGTGACTGCACTTTTTCCATGTTTTAAACCAATAATCAGGACCAGTGAAGGAACAGTTTATCCTGCATAGGGTTTTAGCGAGAAACTTTCACCTCTTGAGTTGGTGCATTATCTCCTAAAACAAATCTGCCCTTGACGAGGACATGGAGTTTGATTGGCGGTTGATAACCTCCTTGATCCTCATTGACTGGCGTCAAACTCCTGGCTTTTCTCTGACATCACGTGTGGCTCAGCAAAACTCTGCGTCCTGAGAGACTTTCCTTGTAGGATTAGGATTAAAACCAGTCCCGTATGAGTCTCAGTGTACCGGCCCAGGAAAGGCACTAATCATGCAGCAGAGAGCTAATTAAATTGAGGCTATTTCTAGGTGCACCTTTTGAGAGGTTTCAGACCTGTTTTGCAGTATAGATGAAATGTTCTGGTATCATTAGGTTCTTTCATGCTGGGTAAGCAGATGAGCGGACATAATTGGAAGCTGGAGTGGCTTGTTCAGCAATTTTACCCGAGAAGAAATCTAGTCCTCAGCTTCTGTGAACAGAAAGGCTTTCTTAATGCTCACTGAGGTGTCCACCTTTTTCAGAAGTGATTAATTTTCACTCAGCTTGCTGCCATTCAAAGACTTGTACCTCATTTCCATCCTGTAATAAAATTCTGTTGAACAGGAGCAGCGAGCAGCAGGCCTGTGATAGTGAGGGTTCACTCGTTGCTGTGAAAATGAGACAAGGGAGCAGGCAGTGTTGTTTTTTTTTTCTTTTCCCTCCTGCTCCGGAACTGCCTGCCCTCCCTGCTGCCTGTTGACTTTGCAATTGATTCCTGTGGGTTTGGCGACGCCATCCCACACTTCACTGCAACAAAAAAAGGAGCGACGTGCCCGGCTACGTGTCATCAACAAGGACTCTCACTCATTTCTGGTTGCTTGTGTATGCTAGACATTGTGGGCACTATGGTTCACAGTCTTTTTTCAACTTTAGTTAGAAACCTCCTCTACTTCAGAAATGACTGTGTGCATTGGGGTTGGTGTTAACACAGTTTGTACTGGCTGCAGAATGACACTGCACTCCTCCTCCACTTTGCACTGGTGGAGTGTTGGGGGATGGTGGGCAGCAGTGAAAAGGATAACAGCCTGCTGTGGCCCAAAGCACCAGACCTGTTGGAGACCTCAGATAATCACCAAAACATGTCTGAGGGACTTTTTGCATATTTTTGCCAGCTCTGTCAGATAACATGTCAAACTTGTGTTGCCTTATTTCAGCTATATAGACTGGAATATTCTTTTGTGGGTTGGGGAGGAGTTCACTCAGCTATACTCTCTTGTGGACAGCTGCAGACACCACGGACGCATAGTTGTTGTCATTGCACTACTTTCTAGTTCCGCATGTACAGCGGATCGGTGCACTGCTGCTGAACATGTTCACTATAACCCTTGTAATGTAGAAGGGGTCTGCATGGACTTGGGCAGGTGACAGAATTTAAATCCTAGCAGATACTCATAGCCTCGGGGGAGACAATCTTATGTCTTCATTTGACATATGAGCTGTTTTTCAGAGGAACTGTACCGATGCTGAGTACATGTCCAAACTTCCCCTCCTGCACACGTACTCAGCAAAAGCATGATTGGCTGTGACACAATTAGGATGATGCCCACTATGTATCATGGAGCTTCTAAGAAAGAATAGCGTTAAGTGAAGCAACATTCTGAAAGAAACATCAAAGTGACAGAGATAGAAATCACCACTCGGAGTCAGAACTTTTAGGGATAAAATCAGAGCGAAAACCAGAGGCAGAGATTTTAATTAGAGAATGTTGAAAGGACAAAAAAAAAAAAAGAAGATGAATCAATTATTCAAATAGCTGGTGAAAACTGTTGTAGTTAAGGGCTGATTTATCGATCAATTAATTGCTGCATGTTGGTGCTTTAGACTTTAGATTTACATTTTTTCTATTTACCAGCACTAGTTGGTTTCCTTTCATTTCGGTAAAATATGACAACCATTTAGCAGACTCCTCAAAATGTTACATCATTCTATCATAATACAAGTTATTGCAGTGATGTAATGCAGCACAGAAAGTAGAGAATGAAATGTTACATAATGTTAATGGAACTGACAAACGCTAATGCAGACACGATGCTCAATCAGGTGAACCTGAAAGACTAAAGAGTATGCTTCCAAACATTTAAAAATGCTCAGATTACATATTAAAATAACTTGGCCTTGGTTAGTAGTTTATGAACTTGCTCAAATCTAAGTACGCTATTATATTTAATTCCTCTCCGTAAGTGTACAAAAATAGCAAATTCCTAAACTTAACTAAACCTCACTAAAGACATGCATTTGTTGATGGCAACACGACTGTTACCACCACAGCGTTTCATATCTTTACCGCATCTGCTGTATGTGTGCTTCTTTTACCACATAATGGGTTTTCTAAATGCACCCACGCCACTTAATGCCCTTTGATCTACACTCCAACAAAGTCTTTCCCAAAAAACAAAGAGTGCAGCCACAGTGTTAAACGTCGCTATTTTCATCCCATCTTTTCTGTCTTCTGTTTCCGATTCTTAATGAAAATGACCCCATTCAAACTCCACTTTATCTGAAGGGCTAAAAATTTGACAGGCCTTTCGTTGATTGAGCATGAATAAGAGCGTCTGCTGAATTAATGAAGCAGTGCAGATGTAGATGACTCTCAGCGACTATAGTTTTCCTCTGTTCGGCTGGCTGGTTCTTTTTCCTTCACCGGATACACTCCAGACTCCTCGTGTGCTGCCTATTGACTGACTTTTTGTCCATCTGAATGCTCTATTTGTATGGACAATAATGATTGATGGACTTTGGGGGGTGGTGAGCTTGGTGTGTTCCCAATCTCTTGTTCCCTTTCGCGCTGGTTTGGGGAATCTGACTTGGCCGGCGCTCAGAAATGGGATCAGCGCTATTTCTGGGGGTTGTTTTGGCCACACTGACTGTGGCGTTTGAGAGTTGGCCTCGGCTGCTAAAGTTACAGAGAGTTCAAGCCTCGGAGTTCAAACCTGGAACCTAATCTGGGCTGACGATTGCACGGTTGGGTCTGGAGGAAGTCAACAACTTGGAGAAGCAACACTGTGAGAGCTGCACTTCAAATCCAGAACAGATTCCTTAGCTGGACGTTAGATGTGAAGTTCAGGTCACATAGTTTTCTCATGGCTCTGACTTTCTGGTCTGTTCTTCATTTCGCCAGCAGAGCAGCTGCAGAAATCTGTTCTGCTCCCTGTTTTGATAGATAAAGAAGTTTTTGTGTGAAAGCATCATCTTTCTATACAGTTACTGGCCATACAGGAATTAGAGGTCACAGTCACATTAGTGTAGTTCAGTTGGTAGAGTGTTAGGTCTTGAACATGTTAGCGCTGCATTCATGACAGTAACAATTATTTTGAATACTCATTAATCTGTTCATTATTTTTTCAATTAAATGGATTATAAAAGCTCACTATAACTCTCCAGAGCCAAAGCGATGTCTACATATCGCTTGTTTTGTCTGACCAACATTCCACAACCAATTTACAC